TGGCTTATGTACATCTTAGCACAAAGTTGTGAAAACGAGACCAAACACTTTAATTTGGGAAAGGGGACTGCAATAAAAGCAAGGGTTTGTATATTATCCTATTTACCTGAATGTATAGAATTGGATTAAGATCGAAGCAACGATAGAGGTTGGGGGCCAATAAAAATCCAATTTCGAGTTAAGGCCTAATAGTTTTAATTCAGTGCCATTTTCTACAATATGTCCTTTTATAAATATTTCATTAATCTACTTTATACCTTTTTGTAGTCTTTATAAACCATTGCTTTTTCCATTTGCATTTCAAAAAACTATTCTAACACTCATCCCCTACTCCAGGTGATGCTCTTATGCAGTTGGTGATCCATCATCTAACAATCAGCCTGTTTTCATTTGAGCCTAGTTCTCGTGACCTCTATTCCTACAGAGGGGGTGTCAACGGGGCCTCCGTAGGAAACTACCGTTATCAGTCTTCTACTAATATCCCCGGTGTCCATAGCTACTTTAACGACGCATTCTCGAGCCCAGGTCAGGGGGCAGGATATGGCAGCTCAGTCTCCCAGTGGAAAGTTCCTCCTATATTTCCACAGCCACCTCATAATCAACCAGCTGTATGGGCTGGCTACTTCGGCCTATTACTTGACTATCTTTCCAGAGGGGAAAAGTACACAGAACATCTTATTAGTCTCCGGCTGTTGGATATGCTCTTACAGTGCGTTTGTGAAATTTTCAACCAGATTGCCTTTACTAAATCTTATGTATTCATTGCACTGAATAGTTCTTCATTGCCCTCTTTTACTTAAATGAATAGGCTTTAAAATAGGTCATTTTAATTATTTATTTTGTTTTTTCTTTAGAATCTTATATAAACATATTTTTTATCATATATGTGCACATACATATTGTTATAAAATTTATTGAAATTGAAGTTTTATCCGTTCTCTGGTTCGTTTGCATTTAACTCTGTTGCGAAATACTCATTTGCATTTACTATTCTCCTGTTATTGATTCATATACGACCTTTTATTTCAAGATCACATTAAGAAATACATTTGATTAATGCTACTTATTATTTATAAGTAGACTGCTTATTGAGTGTTAAATAAGTTAATCTTTATTTTCTTTGATCCGAACGTATTTTAGGGATGCAAGCCCCCTGTTATAGGTTTTATCCATGCATTCAAAGTTCCACATCTTATTATTTTATGATTTAGTAGACCAACATTTTGGCATAGTTGCTCAATATATCAAGAAGTACTAATTGCCCCTAAAAACCATAACTTCGATCCATTTTAGCAATAGGTTATTTTTGGACTATTGCGTATTCTTGCTGTCTGAATTAATCTTGCTTTGAAGAAATATTTTTTTTTTCCATGTCGATATTCCTGCGACCACTCTAAGGTAAATTTAGGCCTTAGTTGCATATCATGTTTTTCCGATTAACTACAATCTCTGCCTCACTTATCTATGCCTTCATCACTTTATTGTTATGGAGATAGCTTGCTTTTTATCTATCAAGACTCTTATAATGTTTGACCTTGTTATGATGCCCAGTTATATTATTAACTGGCCTTAATTTTATACTCTTCCTCTCATAGCTTTCTGATAAACGGTGGCCCTAATCAATTGCCCCTACCGTCCACCGTTGTCGGGCTTTCCGGATCCGCATCCTCCAGCTCTACGTTTGGCGGGACCGGTTTCTTTTCATTCAGCTTGCCCAGCTCCCTCCGAACCTGCGATCCTACTAGTATCAATCAAGCGACCTCAAATCCCTTACTCCTTGCTATTTCTGGCCTCACTTCGACTCAATTTCAACTAGTTACACAACTTGCGGCCCTCGGCGGTAGCGAGGATAAACGGGCTACTGATGGTGCTTGGCCTGTCGGCATGGCGGTACCCGATGATATAGAGGAGATTGTTGAGGAGGAGGAGGAGGAGGGAGCGAA